AAAAAATAAAAGATATGTAACATAATACCTATTTTAATAAAATAACAAAAAATATTAACCTGACTTTGGAACAATACATAGTTAGTTAACTATGTAAAACTTTTCTACTGAATGTCTTGAAATGCCAGGCAGAACTAAAATAATGTAAATCAAGTTTTTTCACATTATTTTAAATGAATTAGTTTCGTTTTAGTTGGAAGTTAAATTATATTTCAACTACTTTTTCATTTATGGGTAATATTTAGTGAGAAAATGATATCGTCTGCCTCTTTTTGATTTTTTTGTTGTATAATACACATAAAAAAATATATAATGTATTATGTATACTATAGTATACAAATTATACTTTATATTTTTATAGGAATTTAAAGTCAATTAATATTTTTTATAATGGACGTTTATCAACACCAATTATGGTTTAGAAAGAAACTTGAATACTTTTACTAAACTACTAATTAATATAAGTTAGATAAATGTTACTATAACAATAATATAAAATTTCRTATAACCGGATCAATGAAGTCCATATTGAGCCCATCGCATAATTGTTCAATTCGCATTGTGATCTTGTCCATCATTACTTCTTCCATTCGGCCATCTAAATAAATACATTTTATTGACAAAAAATTCACATTCAAGGGACATTATATCACCTGGTGCTATAGCTATGCTCACATCAGTCTGTCTTTAACACACAACACAATTTAGGTACTTACCACGCTTTTTTACAAACAGCTTATCCTTAGTTGTTCCCACGTTGTTTGACATGATTGTGGAGATTTAGCTGGTAGGTACCTGATTAAAAATCTCCAATGGATGGTAGTAGAATTGAGCTGCAAGTCTATAACCGTAAACGAAAGGACACAAATAAGGATTAAAAAACCATAAATATGTGTGTTGGTMAACACGAAGACAGAATTCGATAACAATAAAGAATAGTTACAAGATTCTAGATGAATTGGTCTGTAGTTTGCTCCTGTATTGAAYACTTTTTAGCCGGCTTCAATTAAATGTAAGTAGGTACCATAGTTATTAAAGAATATAGTTATTTTGTAAACTCTGAACAATAATTATTATACGTCCCTTCGACAACTGGCCGATCCAAAACAATAACAACGATGAAGACTGAAGGTCGGGATGGAACCGAACACAACTTGAAATATGAATATACGTATTGAATATTGCATAGTGGTACACAAGATGATATTGTATTGTCGTAGTCGTATTGATATTATGCATTGTACACACATGGTTTCCCGCGTTTTTTCCTACCATAATATTATGGCATAATATATCCGACATGCAGTCGTACCATTTATTTTGTAATCGTCAACGCCATACTTGATGTACTATTAACCTACTGGCTACTTCTACTAATCGACGGAGCACATAACTTACCAGAAAATAAATAAACTGAACGTTAGTAATCCGCGTAAGGCATATTATGGTAAATTTAACAGAGAAAATGAATAATAGAAAGCAAAATTACAGAAAATAAAATAGTTGGAAATTAACGTTTACTGTATAAAATATATAGACTATAGAGGACGTATTATAATCTAATAAATATAGCTAATAGCAGCTATGGACTAACGTCTAAAATATTAGTGTAAACAGTAAACACCCATGGCTGGATGGGTACCTAGGTGGTAATAGGTWGTAGTTAGTTATTAGTTATTATTTATTTATTTACTGCTAAGTATTTAATTATGTTAAACACTAATACACTATACAGGCTAAGATTTATAAGAATAGGTTTGATAGAAAATTGTTTTATTTTTGGATACAAATTGGTATAATACGATATAAATATATAATTTATATTAATGTTTTATTAAAAAGTTGYGCAATTATCGGAGAGTGTTGGGTGTGCAATTCACATGGTCTCCGGTTTTAGGGAGAATAGGCCGACTCCCGATATCTCTTTTATTGTCTTAAGCATTGATTAAGTACACTTAATCAATGTCTTAAGTAACGGCTGAATTGGATAYAAACAAAATTATTAATGACTGCTGCAGTAAAAATAAGCAGATTTAATTTTTATCTTAGATTTTATAAAAAAATTAATATAGGTTGTTAACTGAAAAGTATCAACTAGGTATGACATGTGTAAAAACAATATTTTTAGTTGTAATAAAGCAATTTGATTGTTTTTCATTTTTATTAACAGGTAAGGGCCCCAGTCTGAAATTTTTTTTTAAGAGCCTCTTATCATCAAGTTGCGCCAATGAAAAATTGTACATTTTTTATAAAGATTTTTATGAATAAAGTTTTATAATTCTTGACTCTTGTGATACTAAATTAGCTTTGTATACCAACACTATACACATGTATAAAAAAAAAATAGTAATGTATAACTATTTATAATTAATTCTGCAGGTTATTTATGCATTATGCGTAATATAAATACGGATGCTTGAACTGGTGAACATTAAATTTTCTTCACCCATGTTTTACATTCACTTAAATAGTAGCTTATTCATAATTTGGATAA